CCTGGGGTGTTAGGGGAGGGAGGGCGCCGGGGCCGCGGCGGGTGGTGTGAGCAGCAGAGGGTGAGGCCTGAGCTGCGGGTCTGAACGTCCCCACAACCGCCCAGAGGAGGAGCCGCCTCCAGGAGGGAGCACAGCAGTGAGGGCGGAGGAGGGGCTGTGAGCACAGCCTCCCAGCAGGGGGCGCCGTGAGGACCAGCCCTGAGGGAGGGGCATCTCGTCACGTGACCGCGGACAGAGCCCCTGGGTCCTGGGGTGGGTGCCGGGCCCTCAGCCCTTTAGTTCCCACCGGTTCCTGCGGGGGCAGAGCCGCTGAGGGGACGGGGCTGTGGGGCTCATGTCAGGGCTTCAAACTATCTTGGCCTCTGAGGTCCTGGGGCTGTGAGCTCCTCTTCTCGGGGGACCTTGGACCTGGGGACCTTGAAGGGGCATCAAGTCCAGAACCCTAAGTCCAGGTCAGGGGTCAGATCAGTGGCAGCTGATCTTGGCAGCCAGTGGAATTCTGAGTGACAGGTCCTTCCGCGCATGGGCTCCAGAATGTGCAAAGACTTGGAGGGAAGACTCAGCTGATTCAGGGACCAGCAGGGTCCATTTTATGAAAATAGGAACTGGAAACAGTGGGACAGGAACCAAGTGCAGAGGAGCTTTGTGAGCACTTGGGTTTCTGTTCTGCTGGTGATGGGGTCATTGGGGTCACGGGAGCAGTAGAGCAGGTGACCTGTCCCAGGTCTCATTAGACTCCCTGTGGCTGCAGCCTGATGCACAGGATGGGTGTGAGGACTGTGGTAGGAAGCCCAGGATGGAAGCTGCTGTGATAGTGCTGGTGAGTGTGAGGGTACCTGGAGCACCATGGTGGTTCTGGGTGTGGAAGACGCAGTTGCATTATGGATCAGGGTTTTAGCTGTGGCCACTTGCATTTCCTAATTTTGAGGATTGGAGAGAGAGGTAAGATTCAGGGATGATGTAAAGGTTTGGATTTAGCAACTGAAGGATTGAAAGCATCAACTGAGATGGGGAAATTCATAGTGGGAAAAGTTATGTTCATGAGGAATATAAAATCTTTTATTTTTCTCTATTAAGTTATGAGATATTTCAGAGAGCAGTTCATGACCATCTGGAACTCTGAGGAGTAGGTCACGATGACGACTACTTAAAAAAATAGCCATCTAGACCAGGGAGGAGTTGAAGGTCACCTCCTTTTATTGGAGGTAAAAGAGTAATTCAAAAAAGGTTAGACTGTGGCTAGTTTATATTTATTTCTTAAACACTCACCCAGATTTCTTTTTACC